GAATAACAGAAACATGAACAAAGAATTACGAGAAGGCAGTTATTACTCTCCTGAAGTCTAAATTTGAAGAGCAGTCTCTTTCTTTGTGAATTAGGGATGGCAATGGGGTGGCAACCTCCCCCGCCAAGCAATTCCCGGCCCCATTACCCGTTTAAGGCGGGGCGGGGTCCTTGTCCCGTTTACTACCCCGTTTAAAATTAGTTTTTGATAATTTATTTTTATTGTCCATATTCATTATATTTAGACAAATAATTTTANATTTTAATTGTTATTTTCTATTAGAGCTAATGAAATTTCGTAAAATTTTCCATTTAAAATACTGAATTCTAAAAAAAAAAAAAAAGAAGAAAATTAAAAAAAAGAAATTAACTAGGCTGGGCGGGGCGCCCGTTACCCGTCCCCGCCCCTGTCCCGGGGCAAAATTCCCCTGCCCCGAATATTCGATTAAGCTGGGCGCGGGTATCGAATTTGTCGGATTTTTTTGCCATCCCTATTGTGAATCAAGTCAGATTAACCAGATATTGTAAAGGAATCCATGCACTACACTATTTGTGGTTTGTGTCCGGGTATGATCACACATGAAGAACTAAGAATAATAGTCTAAATTTCCAAACTAATGTTGGAAATATAAGAGATAATTCGAGTAGAATTTGGTCAAATTTAAGGGGAACGTTGTATTCATGTGCCTTCATTCGTCTATATTTGAAAGAATAATAAGCAGTCATATTCAGTAGAGAAGGGGGGGGGGGGGGGGGCATAGGGTTGAAGCTAGTTGGAAGATCATTGAATTCCTCGTAATTATCATGTATTAGTATTACCCTATAATGAGGATGAAAAGGGAGGGTGATAAGTGTGTTTTCACACACTTATTGGATGCCTAAATAATAAACTTAAAAGTGAATAAATGAGTGGATTTCTACTCACAATTGTGTAATGTGTGCTTTTATAGGTTATAATCCCCCAATTGAATGAAAAGAAGACAAAGGAAGAGAAAAAATGGATTAAAATTGTGCAAAAACATGAAGTTGAGGACCAAATTGTGCAAGTATCAAAAGGTAGAGGACTTTAGTTGCATTTTGGTGAAGGTATGATTGGAATGAAAGTCAAAATTTGGGGACCAAAATGTACAAGATAAAAGATTAGAGATCGGCATTTAGTTATGGAAGGATGAAAGCTACAAAAAGGAGGCCAAATAGGGAGCCGCTTGTGTGCGACTCAACCCGGTGCATGGGCAGGAAGCTCAGATGCTGGTGCATGCATGCCAGAGAAGGCGGCACTCGCGAGCCAATTTAAAAGAAAAAAAATATGGGGGCCATTTATTTTGATGTTCGAAAATCTAGGGATCATTTTTGCAAAATTCTGAGCACGTTTTTGGTGGTTTTAAAATGCAGAATTGGGGCTTTTAATTGGCATTCTCTTCTTATTTCATTCTCATTCGATTCTTCTTTTCTTCTTCTTCTTCTTTTTTTTACATATTTTCTTCTCTGTTTTTTCTTCTGATTTTCTTGACAATTTTGGGGGAAAATTAGTTCAAACTCAAGGAAAATCATTTAAGAAGGTGGAGAAAATTTAGGGAACTCAAGATTCATCAATGACAACCTTCAAGAATTCAACCAAACAAGAGTTTTATCTATAATCTTGTTGTTTCTTCATTATTTCCTCCCATTAGTGATAGTTATCAAATATATAAAATGGGCTAAATTATTTGTGTTGGAATTTATGGTGATAGCTTAACGTAGTTTTGATTAATTGAATATATTTTTTAATGTTAAAATACTTATTTTTATGTGTATTTACTATTGAATTTCATGCTATTCATTTATTTGGCCAATGAATAATTGTGTTTAGTGATTTGTACATTGTTCTAGAGAAGATTGTATATTTTAGACCAAATAGTAAATACCTTAGGTTCTTGTAGGGGATTGGGATAAACCCCTAAATCTAGTTCGTCCATCGAGCTGCTTTCACAAATATTGAATAATATTGGTTTGGTTTTAATTGACATAGAGAATCAATTATGGATAATTTCATTCGAGAGAGATAATTAGCTAAAATCAGAAAATTGGATCTAACGGCGTAAATGAGTAATTTTTTAATTTGCTTGTGAAGAATGAGTTAAGAGACGGTTAAGTGATACCATGAGTTCCAACCACTTTATCCTCTGAAATTCCCAATTTTTTATTTTTTCTATTTTGTAGTGTTTTAGTTATTTTTTTCCTTTATTTTCAAATAAAAAACTTATTGCGTGTTTGTTTTTATTGTAATAATTAATTTGACTAGAGTAATGCAATTGAAAGTAAACATTCCTTGCGAGATCGATGACTCATAGACACAAGTCCACTTTATTACTTGAATATGACTCGTACACTTGCAGTTTACACTTTGAGCGAACAAGTTTTTGGAGCTGTTGTCAGAGAATTGTTTTACTTTGATTACGACTTTAGTTAATTCTAGTTTTAACAAATTTTTTATTTACTTTTATTTGCTTTTCTTTTCTGTATCTTTTGGTTACCCTCACACTTTCAATCTACCTTGTGTTAGTATTCTCTAATTGTACTTTTTAGCTATATATGCACGATTCCAACATGGCCAAGTAAAAAAAAAAAATTGGAATGGATTATCTCTTCATGGATTACTGATATATGCTAAGAGGTCCAAAGTAACAAAAATTGTTATGTTATGCATTTTACTGGGCTATGCTTGTATACGTGCAATGATGCATCAATGTCAAAACTTATTTGGTTTAGACAATATTTGAAATGTCGAAAATAAGCACTGAACAATTCTAATGATAGTTAACTACTCGCAAGATATTACACAGATAACGATTGGGATGAAGACATCAAGCTTGTGATAGATGGTCCTCCTTGTTGAATGAAAATGTATTTGTAAGGTATTATTATGAACTTACCAAATTGGATGTAGATAACATTCCTATGGGACATTACATATATTAGGATGGATTTCAAAAGTGGGGGTATCATCGCCCATGGATCTAGATTGCAGATCTGCCATTCAATCTGAAGAAATATCAACGATTGTAGAAGAGCTTAAAGTGAATGACAACTTAATCACAAAGGAACATATCAAATATGTAGAAATCAATGACGATGAAATCAACATACATTTGCGTGACTTCATTAATTGCATAGAAATTGGTTTTGTGATTAAGTCCAATGAGGATGTGGAAGTCTACCTTGTTGAGTTTGAATAAGATGGAATGGGAAAGTTCTACTACATTGAAAGGGGCAATGTTGAGGTTTTGAGAAATAGTGAAAAGTGAGTAGAGCTAAAACAAGAAAAATGGGCAAGGCATCCGAAGCTTTTTTTCTTTTAATTTTTTAATTATGTAATTGGCAATTCTGTAAACAAAAGGGACTTAATTGTAAATGATATAAAAGTCAAGGAGTAATATGTAATTATATGAAAATAGGTTTATTAAGTCTAGGGTTCGAGTATGGCAAAAAAAGGAAAATACGGCGCGGATTTTCGCTAGACTATCGTTATGGATTGGCTCGAGTGTAAAAAATAGAACCTCCAACGCTCGACTGTCGCCATGCCTTAGCTCGAGCAACAACATGTCGCTTGATTGTCGTTGAGCTCTCGCTCAAGCGACAGTGTTGTCCTGGAAATTTTTATTTTCGCGATTTAAATGTTTTTTCCCTGGCCCATTACTTTTCTAACCTATCTATAAATACCAAAACACATCTGAACGTGAATATCAAAGGTTGATCATTGATAGAGCTTCATCAGAGAGAATTCCTACATATTCCTACTTTCAACCTTTATCTCGTGAGTTTGTTTTGGTGAGAAAAACATCAATTTCATAATCCAAATATAACTCTGTTCTTTTCACCACATCTATTAGAGTTGCTGAAGATCGAGGAAAGTTGACTGGAGTTCTAGTTGTTGAAGAACGCGGTGTTCTTCGTAGATCCACAAGAGATAAACAATTACACAAAGTTAGGAGTTGCTGCAGGAGAGAACAATCCAGGAGAGCTTTGGAAACTGCAGCCGGGAGTGGTGTAGGAGCACAGAATCCAGGAAAGCTGATGGAATTACAGTCAGGAGATCAGATAGTACATGTCGTCGTCCAGGTTGGTAGACTGTAAGTTACAAATAATTTATAGTGTATTGTTGACTAGAAAAGTGCCCGGAGTTTTTGTCCAGATAAGGTTTCATTGTGATCATACCGAGTGTTCTTACTGCTTTCACTATTGATTATATCAACTACGGTATTTAAACATAGGTAAATTGACTTGTATGCTTAATCATCTTGAGATAATTAATTGGTGACATGTTGCTAATTAATTAATATCTTTTATTCCGCATAATATACCTATTCACCCCCTCTAGGTACTGTTAGGGTCGAACTACATAACTTTCAATTTGTATCAGAACCTTAATTCGATTCCTGACCCTTTATAACATCTAGATGTGTTAGTCATTGTCTGTACCTCCATTTTTTGACGGAAGTAACTATGCCTACTAGAAAGTTCATATGAGAGTCTTACTTAAATCTTTGGATGAACGTATTTGAATTAGCATTCAAAATGTGTGGTGATTAGTGTATTTTGCACACTTAATTATGACACAAAATAGGTTGAATGTTGTTATAAAAAGCTCGAAAAGGACTTAATTCGT